TTTTCTGATAAATTTGGTACATAAGGAATTGTAATGTATTGTTTCATTTCTGGAGTCTTTTTTGGGTATCTTGTTTGGTTATAATATTTATGAATTCTTGTTTTTATTATTTTGTTTATGAACTGAAGGGGATAATTATTATTAAGAAGGGTTTTTCTTACTTTATTTAGTGCTTCTTCTCTTAATGATGAACTACTAAGGTGTATTGCTCAGCCATACCACTTACAACGGTTTTTTTATGTGTTATAGGCTGATTTGAATTATAGTATAGAAATACCGTTCTGACCACGTCGGTATAGTGTACCATTTGGTTATAATTTTGTTTTTTTCTTTAATCAAGGTAAGATCTAAAAATGTTTTCTATTGTCTATTTCTTTTTCGCATGTGAACTGTAATTTCTCATGGAATGAGTTGAAAAGTTTGATAGTTTCTTCTAATTTTGAATGGGATTTAAATTTCGACTTTCATGGGTTGTTTTGTAGGGGGTGACAGTTGGTTACCGGAATATCGGAAAAATGATTTTTAACAGATTCGACCTCTCAAACTCATGATAACTGGAAGCTATTTATTCGACTGATTGTCGGCTGCGATTTTAATGGAAAAAGTTGTCGGCAACTTCGAAATACTGAGTGATTTATTCATTCACTTTATTCTCTTCCTTCCTGAATTATTACCAAGTATCGATGAAAGGATACTGAAACATCGACTTCACAAACAAACCCCACTCAAGGGATGTAGCCGAAATGAAACCTCAGCACAACTCGATAAAAAGTGAAACATTCTCCGGCGAACTTTTCGAAAACAATTCGATTTGCTGAAGCGGTTAGTGCGATCCTCCCAAGGGTGAGAGTGGCCGAACTCACCGATATACTTCCTGACTGGCTCGGTGAAGTAACTCGTGTATTCGACTCTCGGATTTCTGGACGAGGTGATTAGCAACTTGTGAATGTAGTTATCGTTGGAGAGTCGCGCGGGTAGACCGTCATCGTAGTATCTGGAACAAATGAAAGTGATTATATATAAGATATCGGTGAAATATTAAACATACACGAGAAAGATTTTTCCGCTTTCGATAGAACCATTTCGACTGTCAGGAGTATTGACGCCCCATTAATTGGGGACAGATCAATTCCATCGTTTATAAAGACTGAGTGGACTACCAATAACGTACCGCAGTACTGCCAGACAAAAACTTTTTCGGAAAAATTGAAAAAAAAACATCAATTTTGTATGTCAGTAGACAAAATTTGAAACGCCGATCTCTCAAACAGTGCTGTGCTATGGTGGGGGGCAGTTATTGTATTTTGTGTCGGTATTCACTTCGTGTTCATTTTCACGAAATCGAACTTAATCATAAAGATACTGAGGTGCTTCACTGATGATTATATTGTGAAATAAGGTTAGAGACTGCAATAAGAAACGATTCTTCATTGACAGCTATTGCGACTGAGAAAGCTTATGAGAAATATGCTGGAGCTTACGGATGCCATAGATGTAGCGTAAACAGGAATTTCGGGCTTTTTGTATCCTGCACAAATCTAGACTATCCAAACAGGGAAAATGAACAGGTGAACATTAGGTGAACTGTGAAAGGATGAGAGTCTGGCATAAATTGGTTTTTGTCTGAGTATTTAGGTATGCTTGGTGCGGGTAAATTAATGTTAAGTTCGCGTAAGCTCTCTGGATATATGTATAATGAAACTTGCTTTTTGAACCTGGAATTATTATCCAACATCAAGCCATAATTTGTTGCCTCCGTCATCCTCGTTTCGTTCACGCTTGGAGTCCAGCTCCCCTAACCTTTCGGCTGGTTATTGGTCTCGAGAAGGACCAATGGGTTGATGACTGATGGTATGACGGCATGAAGTCCTTAGACATCAGTGCCGCCCTTCACGGGATACCCCTACCTGGCTGGGGTGGGATGGATGAGAAAGTTGTTCATCCGTTAACGGGGGACGTGAGGGCCTCATTCAATAGAGTGTCGGGGCCTTCTATATCGGGAGGGGTCGTCTACAGCATAATCTGTGGCTTTCCTAACCAACGGATTTTCATGAGTTTCCGTACTTTCAAAAACTCTCTGATTCCTCGACTGAATGGACTGCCGAATGGAAGGCAGCTGCAAATCTCTGCGGATGGCTTCGTTCCGCCCGAACCAAGGAACATTCACAATCATCCTAATTAGCTTATTTTGTAGCATTTCCAGAATGGAAATGTTGGACGGAGCCGCTTGTCCCCAGACGCCTGAAGCATACATGATGGCAGGCTTGAACATCGTGTTATAGATGGTGATTTTATTCTTCGTGCTTAGTTTGGATTTTCTATTGATCAGAGGGTACAGACTAGCTATCCGACCCTCGATCTTAGACTTAACGAACATGATGTGCGTGTTCCAAGTGAGCCTACGGTCTATTAGAAGGCCGAGGTACTTTACCCGCGCTTGCCATTCAATCTCCTTTCCAGAGATTCTCACTTTTCTGGCCAGAGAAGATAGTAATCTTCCCATGGTTATCGTCTGAGTTGCCTCCGGTACTGTATTTAGAGTTAAACCATTCAGAGAAATATTTACTTGAGGTAAATACCTTTGGCATAATAACTTGGGATCAAACCTGCGTTTTATTACGATTGAGTTGCAGTTCGTGTTTCACAGAAGAATCATAAATGTTTTGAAGTTCAGTATTGATGTCAGCAACAGCTTCATTCAGCAATTCTGGGTTAAACGATACATAAGTTTGGGTATCATCAGTATGCATGATACTTACAGAGATTGATCTTAGTCAGTAAATTTGAGGTATACAAACTTGAAAGCAAAGGTCCAAGTGTAGATCCTTGCGGAACATCGCTATCATCTTAACGGCTGTTTTAGAGAAGCCAATATAATTGAGAATGGATATAAATATTTCTGGATACAATGAGTCGAATGCTTTACTGTAGTCCAGTAACATCAATAACGAGATGTCTCCTGTATCTGTTGCTGCCAACATGTCATCCGTTATTTAAGGCAAATCTGTTGTACAGCGATGTAGAGGCCTAAAACCCGAATGAAAGAGAGGCATTATATTAGAGTTAGTTATATGTTCCCTGATTAGTTTGTTCAAAATGCGTTCCATAACTTAGACATGGTGAGTAGAATACTTATGGGTCTGAGATCTTTGTAGTCTAAGATATCAGCTGATTTGGGGAAAGGTATAACATACGCAATATTCCATTGAGTTGGGAAAAAATATTCAAGAATACAGCTATTGACTTTATGTAACAAAGCATTTTTTATTATCGGAAAGCATATATTTATCATTGTCATATTAATACCATCTACTCCAGTTGCATTATTTTTAGGCAATTTACTGCATCTACAACGTCTTCTTCAGAAACATGGTAAAACTGACGCTAACTAATCATTCAATAACTCCACCAAGCCTACTGCAGTAGACGAAGGATCCTCAACTCATCCCAAAGGAGCGCAGAGGTGGGTTTCAATGTTGTGATTGGGATAAATCATTGTTTTTTCGAATACAGTTCACATATCTTCCCTGGAAGACCGGCAGAAAACGAAACCTTTCAATAAAATATCTTTGATTTCCTATATCCACTACTGCTCTGCTTTTATAAAACGGTCTTTCGAAAGCCACCAATACTTCTCCCAAAAAATTGAAAAGTTGAACTGATTCCAAACGAAAACTCACCGTAATAATCTAGTTGAAGCTGAAAATAATATACGACAACATCCATACATTAATACAGTTTATATTCCAACCGTTGTCGTACTATTAGTAAGAGGTGGTTGGTAGCCTCTAGGAGTAAATCTGGATACAAATCACCTGTTGGATTTCCAGAAAGAACATACCAGCCCACACAAAAGCTTTGTGTGTGTATCGCATTATCTTTAGCTCCTGAGGCAGGAATACATTTTTGTCAGTCGTTCATTCCCAGTTCATAATTTCAGCAATAATTTGTCCGATGGTGTCATGAAGTTGATGGACTTCAGCTAGATCATTGAAGGTAGGTGCTATCAAACAACAGATTTTCCAGTGAAAACTTGTCAGATGATGGCTCATACAATATAACAGATGATGCAGTTTATCATCTGCTCGTGAGTTAGAGGAAAAGACGTCAGTTGAGCCAGTGAAAGTGCTGCTCTAATCACCCATCGTGCTGCAGCTGATGTTCACTAGACTTCATAACAAATGATATTAATCACTCCTTACATTATTATATGGGGATGAATTGATCGTAAAAATCTGTCACTGACTCCCGGGATATATCGGCATAAAAATTGTGGCCAATAACTACATTTTCCGTCGCTCTCTTCCTCACAATTTTCAGGCACTTGTATGACTCACACCCATCTCAGTGGCCAATTTCCTTGTGTTCAGAGTACTATCAATTATAATTTGTGACAGTCCCGATTTCAATGTTGAACCAAATTAGTTCTGCAACAATTTTGCCACCAAATTCTAAACAGTCTTTCTCAGAAAGGTGTCTTCCAAAGTGCTGTTGGTTGAATTGCTCAGCAACCAGATTTCCACATTCACTTTTTTGAAATCGTATATCCTATAAATATGTGAGATGGGCGGTTCAGTTATCGCTGGATGTGAGAATAACAAACTCACTTGTGGTGCTGATATATATTCCCTTATCAAATAACATCCCAACAACGTCTTCATCCGTGACTCTGAGTCCACTCAGTGTTGAATGCGGGTCACTGTTGTTATTGACCTTTCATGGATCCATCTTCTACATTTTATGTGGATTCCAATGAATTCCACATAGAATGAATTTGTGGTTCTTCATTTTCTTGCAGAGAGTGTATAGCTCTTTTCATGAGGAATATGATGGGGTGGTTGGTGTACAGTTGTAATGTACCTATCTTTGGGTAATTTGAAGGAAGCCTTGTAATCCAAACTTATGAAAGCTGCCCCAATACCCTCTTAGGTTTTTGATGTACCCTTGTATCAAACAAAAGTCCTCATATTGGTTTATTAGTTGGTGAAATTCTGTCTTGATTATCCCATGATTGGTGTCATTTTTGTAATACTGGGTGAGACTTATGTTTGTCTGTATTTGAGGACTTGTCCAGGGAGGGGGGTTTGATATATTCAAAGTGTTCATAATATTTGGAAGATAGGTAGCGGTTATATCTCTCATAAAATGGAAGATCAGCTCTTTTCTTTCTAGCAAAAGTGTTTTTAAATCTGTTTGCGACGACGTTGTGGTGAAATGGATTTTCTGGATCTGAGTTGAGAGAAGCTGCGTATGTAATAGTCAGGAGATGTCTCCGAGAAGATAATGATGGTTCACCTGCTTCACAACGGATGCTGTTTACCAGACTAGTGCAGAAGGCTCCAATTGCAATTCTGATGGCATTATTCTGAATGGTATCCAATTGTTTCAGAAATGCTTCTTTGCTGAGTTATATATGATTGCCCCGTAGTCTAGTTTGGATCTTATTAATGCCCTGTAGATTTGCATTGGAGTCTTTGAATCAGATAGATGAACATTGAAATCAATATTTATCATTTCACTGTAAAAATGAAACCATTCGATCATGAATTAATGTATTATCAGATCTATCTCATTCGTTTCAATTCAATATGGAATTCTGTAATAACAAACGATGCTGACGTTGAGAAATTCCTTGCACAGAAATAATTAAACGTCATCAATCTCCCAATGGCGTCAAAACCCCAACAAAAGATTGTAATACTCACTTTGGTGTCACCGCCAGAGGCCAGCTGTATCGCTGAACACGAGGAACCGGGTTGTGAATCCGTTTCAAAAGAGACGCCGTTTGCGCACGAATGAGCCTTGTTTCATCATCGAATATCTGGAAAAATACCACACCATTAATCAAATGAAGGAGCAGATTCGATTTTTTAGCCAGAGAAAGCACCGCAGAAGCATAGGAGTTGGCGTTAAATGGTTGATGGAAGTATGACTTGCATGAAAGATTAAAAAGGCGATTCGAATTTTTTTGTTAATGTCAGCATTTCGTGGATTACAATAATAAGTGAAGGATTTACGAGGGTAGCTACAGTCATTGGATATTGATAGTTATAGAGCTTTCATAGAAGTTTCATCGAAGTTTCAGGTACATTGTCTTCATTTAAACGTCCCTTTTCACTCACAAGTCGTCAAAAGCTTTTCCAAATATCTTTGGAACTCCACTTCTTTCCATAGTCAAGTATGACTTGCCTTATACAGTCCATATCACGATTAGGGATGACCCCGGGTTTCACTCCATGTTCTGTGTTTTTGATCCCCACAAGGGTTATTTCCACAACGTTTCGGCGAAGCCTTGTCTACCAACTTCTGATGATATCTGGAGTTTAGAACTAGACTGGTTCAATTTGCCATTTATTCACTTGTGGAGAGATAAGCAGAAACCAACCCGCACATAAATTTCTAAAAATATCATCAGACAACCAAGCTGCTCCGGAGGCCTCTCCAAAATAGGAAGATGCAGAAATTCATTGGTCTAGATTTCTTGTCACAGTTGTCTGCAAGATAATGAAGCTGCTTTCCTACAAGTGGACACTGCAAGCGATTTTGACAAACCAAAGCCCTTCATTGTCATCGCTTCAAGCTTTGCCAGTCTCTGTAACATTTCTTGACCAATACTAAGGTATTCATTCATCTTCAGAAGTTTAGTATCAGAAAATTGTTCAGAAACGACTTTCGTTGTCTAACAGACGTACTTACAGGTCACTGTTGTTTGAATTATCATACGGAGTGAATTGGACACTGTTTGAAGAATGAATAAACAACAACGTATGCACTTGGGCCTGTTCCACCAAATCAAATTTTTAGTTTTCGGTAGTTTTTCTTATCTTTTGGCTCAAAAGATAACGCACTATCTGTAGAGTAGGGAGGGTGAGTATACGCCCACAGCACTTGTCATGCTAGTTGTCCTCCTAGGTCATCGTCCATCCTGTCCTTTCCAGGAAAGTGGACAGGTCACTGAGAGACATCTCCTTTATATCGCCAAACACTCACCCTATTATTGACGATAACTCCGGACACTCGCATAGGACATGCCTGACAGTCTCATCTTCCTGTTCACATATCCTGCATAGAGGTGTGACCATTAGCCCCATATTATGGAGGTGTTTCCTTAGTTGACAGTGGCCAGTTAGAAATCCTACTGTTAAGCGTAAGTTTTTCCTGGTCATCGCCAGATATTTCTTCGGCACCAGCTTCCCAGGGTCGCCTAGGGTGACCCTGGCAAGATTGCATCCTTCAATTTCATCTCATCTCTTCAGGGATTGAGCGTGGGTGTAACATTTGGCTGATTCCGCAATTGTGGAAGTCATCAAGCCGTGGGTGCCACTGGGTCCTAAAATTCTGAGTACAGCCGCTTCCTTGGCTAAAAAGTCGGCAATGCGATTACCTTCACTTCTGTCGTGCTCTTCAATCCACTTCATGATGATGTTATTATCTATCGGGGCTTTGGCTAAATCTTGGTGGCACTAAATAAATCGATCGGTTTCAGCATTATCGCCATCACCTCTTTGAATTTCTTTTGAATCTTCCTCGTCCTTTCAGATGACACTGAATTGTACTATATATGAAGCTCAAATAAAGACGAAGAAAGGGTTTTATAGAAGACCTGTATCAAAACTCTGTCTTCTGCTCTGTATCAATGAAAAAAAGGGGTTCACTGATGATTTGAATTGTTTCACACTTGTCAATGTATTTTAATGGTGTTTTCAAAAATCATTAGCAAACGTTTGCAATGAAGGAAATTTTTGCAGCTTGTTCACACTACTTATACTCTTGTTGATCAAGTGGAAGCCTTATAGAAGCTTTTTCTCGAATTTTCATCACCTCAGCTTGAAAGAACTCACTCTGATGTACGTACACTTAAGGTGACTTACTCAAAAAACAAACTTTTGCAGTTTTTCAATTGGGAGAAAATACTATTCCTTCATACTTTTAATTCAAAATTTTCCATACTGTAACTGTAACAATTTGTTATGAGCCCTTGTGTTATTCTGCTAGACATATATTTCAAAAGCAAAAGTTCCTATTCAAAAGTTGTTTGTAAATTTTGCACGAAACAATTCTCGTATCTTCGATATTACTTATAACGTCTAAGGAATCAAACATTGAACATTGAGTTCAAGAACCATGTGGCCTAAACACATTATCATTATCCCTAAAATTCCGCTGGTCAGGCAATATGCCCTTTTTTCAAGGTGTTACAGACTATAAAGGTTGCAAGTCATGTTCGCGTCTCCAATCAGGCAGATGACTCTTTTCTGGATGGAATACTGCAGCTTCAGGGTATGCTTAGGGGCGAAGCTCTATACATGAGAACAATTCTCCAAAGATGGTCTGATCTGAGCTTTATAAAGCATCGAAAGTTGCTAAGGTGTATACTGTTCTCTAGTTCAGAACAGTGTTCCAAGCTTTTGAGAAACAAACTCTACAATTCCAACGACATGATTGTGCCAAGACATTTGGGAGGGTGCGTTTATATTATCAACCAATGACCACTCCCCGTACCGTGGGGTACCAAGGACTCCAATAATCGAAACAATCATTTTGACAGACTGGTATGGTTAGAGTCTATGGAGTTCTAAGAGGATCACTTGGAATTTTATACGGTTTTCCTCCAGACGACTTCATAAGTTCCACCCGAAGCCTATAATTATTATTATCATTATTAAAGATTCATCTGTATGGCATTCGATAGCATTTGTATCCAGCTTGAAAATGATGTCTACAAAAGCTGTACAATTTCATCATCTGAGGGCATGTGAAAATTGACGTGGAAAGAAGGCACGAACACCCACGATATTCACTGTATGGTACCATTAGATGTATTTACAACTCTTCTATAATGAACTCCTCTGAGCCCCAGTCAATAAATTCCGCATTATTCACGAATACTCGTTATAGGAACTTTTCTACGTATCATTTCATGCGAAAGTTCCCAGGTGGTATACAACCTAGTGTACGAGCCCCAGTATCAATTTGGCTCAAATGATGAATCGACACCCTTGAGACCTCAATAAAAGTTCTACAAATCCAGTTTCCAACTTTCCCGGGTAACGTTCACCTTATTGGAAAAGCACAGTCGACAAATTGGAGACAACTTTGCCAAACACTACAGGGATGTACTGTTGGGAAATTGGGTGTTTATTGAAGGTCAAAGAGTAAATGAGGTGATTGAAATATTTTTGATAGCGATTTGAGTAATGAAATAGCTGAAAATTCCCCCTGATTGATTCATGGATATTCTTTGGGAGAATCAAAGCAGAAAAGCTCAAGCAGCATTAACCATATGGCAGAACAAAATCAATTTATTGAGTTCTGTGATCGAAAATTTCAACAAAAGATTAGATGATCGTAAAAGGAGCTAACTTGTTGAATTTGCAAGGAGATCTAGAAAATCAAATCATAATTGTAGGAGACCAACAGATCTAGATCCTTCTGGTCGGTAGCTGGAGTTGTTTATCAAAACTTTACAGAATCCACAATTCCACCAGTATCACAAGTAGATGGTTCAATTGCAACAACAGCCATAGAAAAATCAAATCTCCACAGTCGATACTCTGGAAAAGACACCACCCAATATTCCCAAACTCGCCGGAAATTACTTTTTGGCGTCTAGTTAGGCGAATATCGAAACAGCTCAATATCAACAAGGCGTATGGGATCGCCTTTGAAAGGCTTCAACATCTTGAGCGATCATCAATATGGCTCTCGGAAACAAACATCAACAAGCGAACTTCTATCGTATATCACCCATATCTGGAATAACGCAATCGAGAAACAAGGAGAGTCAAGAGATGTTGCGCTTGATATTTCTAAGGTCTTCGACCCTATTTGGCATGAGGGTTTGGTGACCAAACGTCAATGGATATCTCTCGAATACGTTTACTATCAACGCTGGTGTTCCCCAGGGATCCAAATTGTCTCCAACCCTCTTTTTATTGTATATCAGCAATATCTCAACCAGACTCGAGGTTTCTTGTGGGCTTCTTCAACGGCCAGAGTTTCAAACCACTCCATATATATGTTGGCTATGACTGGTGAAAGTGGCGATCCCATTGGCAGACCCTCATCTTGTGTAAAGAATTCGTCCTTCAGCTGGAAATAACAGTTTCATACACAGCATACTAGTAATTCCATAATTACTTCTATCGGTAGATTTATTCTCTCTTTAAGGTTCCCGTCTTCGGAAAGCTTTCTCTCTATGATTTGGAGTGCTTCTTCGACCGGAACGTTGGTGTAAAGGCTTTCCACGGCTGCTTCAGATCCGGTAACACTATCCGTAGCAGCCTCACGAAAACCAGGCCACCAAACGCAAACTGCGATTCCAAGAATTGCATTAACCGGATACCCTGTGAGTGCGGAAAATCCTATATTGGCGAAACTAAGAGGCCATTGAATATTCGCAGTGCTGAGCACAAGAAACACACACAGCAAGGGAAAACCAGCAAATCAGGAATAGCAGAACATGTTTGGACCCATCAACACAACATCGAGTGGTCCCAAGCTGAGATCATACATAGAGAGGAGCATTGGTTTAGGAGAAAATTCAAGGAAGCCCATACATACTGTCCAACAATGTATTCAGCCAAGCTAGCGTAGAGATACGCAACATATGGAAACCCATCATCTAGCGAAAAATGGCCAACTCCCGCCAAACGGTTATCTCCCACTGAACCAGTGAAGCGGAAAAAACGGAAAGTAGGGATAAGTGAAAGTACTCGAACGATCCATAAATAGTCATCTCTCGGAGGAATCAGTCTAGTCATCACCCGAAGACGATTGTAGATACTAACAATCGAAACGTCAGGAACTAACGTGGCTTGTTATCTCTTAACCTTTTATTATTTTTATTTCTTTATTTTTGTTCAATAGTTCGAATTTGACTTGTATTTTATCATACTATCATTTCATTTAAGGTTATTTAAGCCTAATATAATTGTTATTTTCAGCTATTCATTTTTAATTCTT